TGTGGAACGATTACTTAGCTTTGTCGATATTTTCACTGCGTGCCTAACACAGACGATCGGGAGAGGTTCGGGTGATTGTCCATTGCAATCATGGCTTTGGTTGGTTGTTCTTTTTCACTGTACGTCCGCAGACACATTCTGACAGCACTTCAGACAGCAGCCTTGTGCCCCGCCAGCTTGTTGTTCCATGCCTACCATGGTGTTTTTGTACAGACAGCACTTCAGACAGCAAGTATGCTGTAGTCGGCAATCATTCGTTTTGGTACAGAGTGGGACAAGTAGGGGGTGATGTTGCTGTAGTCGAACGGTGAGACGGACGTGTAGTTCAGTTTTGGGCACGCGTACGGTGCTGCAGGGATTATATATAGGTGTAGTAGTACCTCTTCGGGCTCTTGTACACCTTTTTCTTGCTACGTGTGCGTGTTCTTTAGATCCTCAGATGGCTCCAGCACTTTCGTGACCACGGGCCGAGAGTCTTTGCTAGATTTTGGCATTTAGCAACTGGCATACGGTTTAATGTGAAGTCAACAACAACAACAACAACAACATACAACTGTTGGTGGGTCTCCGAGGTTCGAAGTGTGGGCTGATAAAATCGTTTCAGACCCAAATCGGCCAGGGGCCGCTAACGATTTTTTTTTTTACCGGGACAGATAACAAGTGAATTGAAGCAGAAAAGGCTGTTTCTTCCCCTTACACTAGAAAGCAGGCAACTTCATGCCAACAAGACGTTGGCTCTACCACATAACAACAGCTTCCTCGAGGAAATGGAGGGAGAAACAAGCTTGCTGACGCATTCGAAAGCGAGGCCGCGGTGTGGATCAGAGGGTGGTGGTATGAGATTGTTGGGCGGTGTCCGCGCGCGTCGTCCCAGACTCACCTGTGGTCTCAGCCAACTATCTGCAGTTGTAGAAGCCTGAACGCTTCGAGAGGCACTAAATGACGTCCAAATCAGAAGTGTCTTGGCCAGGCATGAACTGGACAGAGGATTGATTGTCGATATGTTCGGTGCACAACCCAGCACAAAGATGCACTATTCTCGAGCTAGGGGTGGTTTTTCCGAAGATAAAAACACTGGCATACACCCTGTCTCCAGGCGGGAGGTCGCTGTAGTTCTACCTTTTTCTTGGTTTCCTTCGTTATCTCTGTGTCCTCGAAAATGCATACAAATTTTGGTTCTTTTATTTGGCAGGTGTAGTTTGGCAACTTCAGATACCTCACTCCATGGATTTAAAAACAATCTCGGCGTTCGCTGTGAGCGGTATTTGATATTTTGGAAACATTCGAAACTGTTTTGTGATCGACTGAAACCCGAATGTAGGACGCCAACTCGAAAGACTCTCTACACGAGATCCAGCAAGCGGAAAAACAACATAGTCAGCAAACGATTCCTCTCATCACTCCCCGTGGTGAGCGGTTGTTGTATAAATTCGACGAAAATTCATGTTCGTGAGGAAAGCGAGATTTCGCATTGGCGCAAAGTGTATGTTGAGAACAAGTGATACCGATATGGGTGAATTTGAGAGGGGGCTCCTTGGTTATACCTTGAAGAAACGCTCGATAAAAGGGGCTGTCCGGGAATATCAACGGGCTCCGTGAATCTTAACGGGTCCCGTGGATCGTTCATTGGTCGAAAATGCTGCATTTCCTCTACAAGTACAAACAATGCCCAAGCTATTTTATTTTCGTGCAACACATATTCTATCTGATTATTTCCAAGGTCATCGCGCGAACCGTGAATTTTTGTTGTTGTTGTTGTTGTTGTTGTTGTTGTTGTTGTTGTTGTTGTTGTTGTTGTTGTTGTTGTTGTTGTTGTTGTTGTTGTTGTTGTTGTTGTTGCCTTCACATTAAAAACCGTTCCGATCTCTCTCTACCCAGTACCTTCGTGTGTCCGCACTGATCCAACACTCGACGCGGTCGATTCCCTTGGTCGCAGGCTAACTTACCCTCAAAATGTGGACTAAAAAAAAATGGCCTCGAGGGAAGTCTTTGGGCTGGTGTGGGAAGCGTCCTCCTTGATTTGTGTTTTTCTCATATTTTGATCGGTTTCCGAGGGCTCTTTTCTCGAACGGTCGTTGCGATACGCGTTCTTTTCTTTCTTGTTTTCTTTTCCCGAGTGGTTTGCACCCTATTTTTAATTTGTTTCCCCGCGGCGTCGTATCTGCCGGGTTTGGAGACCACGGGCTCCCCCTTTTCTGTGGACTATAGAGCTAATGTGAGAACCACCACCACCACCACCACCACCACCACCACCAACAACAACAACAACAACAACAACAACAATTCCGGAGTCCTTCACTCCCTCTGCGCGCGATGCGAGGTAACAACCAAGACAAGGAGTCACCATCACGGGTTGGAGGGAATGAGGTTCACCCCCTTGGTTCAATCTTGGTACTTCACAGCCCAAGCAGGGACAAGGCGATTTAAACAAAAAAAGAGAGAAAAAGAGAAAAAGAGGAGAAAATGAAAGGGAAACCGTGAGTAAAGAGAAAATGAAATAAAAAGAGCGAGGACCAAAAGGGACCAGGCCGAAAATAATAAGAAATGAGGAACAGAAGAAGGCACACGGTGGAGAGACCACTAACGACAAGCAAACACGCAAACATGGCCACTAACCAGCGATATATTGTAATGGTACGTCATCACTCGTGGGGGGTTGGTGCAATGGTGCAGCGTTTGGGGGGAGGGAATTGACTAAAAGAAATGAAATCCGGCACGTATCGCGGCACTCGGTCCGTCTCTTTTCATTTGCTTTCTTCCCTCGCCGTCTCGTCCGTCTCCTGCCCCCCTCCCCGCCCCATTGGTTGGTGGCTGGTGGTTTCGTTTGAGCGCCCGTTGTCGACTGGCCTCTCCTTCCTCTTCGTTCCAGGAGGTCATGAACCTCTCAGGTCCCTGCAGCGCCGCCGCATGCCAGGGTACTCCCCCCGCTACCTTCGCGGCTTCCGTCGAATCGTGAAGATTCAGTACGTATTTGAATCTGTGATCTGTGGAGGCGTGTTGGAAATCGGAAAAGCGGGGATCGAAGAAAAATAGACAGCCCTGGTGTCATAAAGTTTTTGTGCTCTCGCTGGGCGAGAGACAAGCAAGTGCATTTGAGAGAAG